CAAGACTTGAAGAGGAACCTTGTCTGGAAAATATAACAGTGCCTGTCTATTTTTAGATTTGCCTTTTCCTTTTGTGTTGTAGTTATGAGAAAGAATTAAGATTTGACCTTTCTGAATTTCTAAGTTTCCTGTTCCTCCCCATCTCCTAATTTTCTTACAGAACCAAGTGCTGGCCTCGTCTTTCCAAGGCCCCTTGCTTTAGAGTCCCAAATTCATACTTCTGCAGAAGAATAATAATAACTGAGCATTTAAAATGCTTATAGAAAAAATTAAAGTTATGCCACTTGTCACAACTTTCATTATGATTGCTTTATTTATTTTTATTTTTGGTACTGGGGATCAAAAAAGACCTTGTGCTTGTGAGGCAGGCAGTGGCATCAGTGAGCTAAATCCCTGGCCCTGCTTTATTTTTATTTACTTATTTTTTTGGTACTGGGGATCAAACCTGGGTCCTTGTGCTTGTGAGGCAAGCAGGAGAACCACTGAGCTAAATCTCCAGCCCAGTCTTGCTTTATTATTTTAACAATGTTAGTTTCTGCTTGGCTTTTACCTGAAGCACTGCTTTTGTTTTTGAAGGTAATGATAATATTTTCTATTAATTTAACAAAGACATAGACAAATACAAAATATTATTTCTAATTTTAAAAAAGCCTTCTTTTGTGACACAACATGTAGAATAACTTTTTGAGATTAAGCAGATAATTAAACAAAAAGACAGCTTTCATAACACATGTGACTATATTTGCATAACTTCAAAGACCACTGGAAACTAAAAATGCAGAAGTAAACTAATTTTTTTCCATTTGTGTTAAGCTATTTCTTGAAAATATAGAAGGCTCCAATTAAAATTGCAGTGAAGATAATTTATAGGATATCTTTACCTTTCTTTTGCTGTGTAAATGTTTTATGCATCCAGATGAAATTTAATTGTTTTAAGTTTTCATTAATAGAAAAATTTGGATTAATGTTTTGTGGACCTTGATATAACTGCCCTTTTGGAAACTCAAGAGATTGACAAATTGCTAAATTAATTTTGTGGATGTCCTTAACATTTTTTAAACAAAGAAATTGAGGATTGAAAACATACAGGAACAAGCAGATAAATAGTTTTATGAAGGTGATATATTACTCTTATTATGTACAATTATTTCTAAAAAGCTATCTTCCTTGTATTATGTTCTCTTTAAAATTAATTGTATAGAAACAAAATTATAATATTAAAAACATAAAAAAATTTGGGTTTAGCTCAGTGGTTCCACCACCTGCCTTGCAAGTGCAAGGTCCTAAATTCAATCCCCAGTACCCCCCCCCAAAAAAAAATATATATATGGTCAGGGATTTAGCTCAGTGATTCTGCTGCCTCCCTCACAAGCACAAGGTCCTGAGTTCAATCCCTGGCACCAAAAATAAATAAATAAAATAAAATGTATATAGATCTAGAACTGACTTTAAACATAATTTTATGAAGCATGGTGTAATTAAGAATGTTTTAATTAAGAATTAATATTACATTTCAGTGATATTCTTTATCAGGATGTTTCTTGTTGCTCATGGAACAGGTCTGCATGGAGTTTTTTAAACTCTAGGTTCAGAGTTTACTGCAGATATACAACCTTGCTGATTTCTACATATGTTGAGGTAATTGCTTCTATTCTTACCAGAAGACCAGAGACCCAGAATATAATATTTGCTTATAATTTTTTAAAAAGTAAACTTAATTTGAGAGTACTTTTAGAGCAAAGGTATATAGAGTTCCTTAGCATACTACTATTAATATCTCACATTACTATGGTACATTTGTTACAGCTAAGAAGCCAACACCAGAACATTGTTACTAAATAAATTCCTTACTCAGGCTTCACTGATTTTTCTCTAATGTTCTTTTGCTGTCCCAGAATTCCATCCAGGATGCTACATTACATCTTGATTCTTTAGCTTCTCCTTTCTACCTATTGCCCTTTCATAATTACTCATTGGAGCCCACACCCAGAGTGAGGGAAGTTAAGCTCTGCCTTTTTAAAGGAGAAAGAATATCTATACACACGATTTTTAATTTTGTATAGGATATTTGGCACTAAAGATGCTCATCTAGACTCGTGTTATTTTCTTCCCCTAGGTAAGCCAATTCTCCATGGAGTCCTGGTTCCTATATTGAAGAGTAGCATTATAAACTATGGGCTAGTTGCTCAGTGTGCTTGTTTGCAAAAGTTCCCCATCACCTCTGTGCCCTCCCAGTAAACAGGTCTAGGAAGTATATGTACTTTCACTAACCCATGTACCCATGCATACTATAGTTTTACCTTTGCCTATGCTGTGTCTGCATTAAGCTAAACATGAATTCAGACTGATGTCTTTGACTTTAACCCAGTAACACATAGTTCATTCTAGTCTTTCCCCTTGCTTGTCTGTAATCTCCCTCTTCAATACAAACAAACTTGGGTCCCACCGTCTGCCATCAACTTGCTTTTTTTGTTCATCTCCAATAGACACATAAAACTGTTTCAGTATTGGTAACCCTGTAATAGCTTTACCAATAAGAGTACACTGCTTACATATTGGTCTGTTTATCTTTAGTTTTATACTTTCTGGTCTAAACATCTTTTTTCCAAAGTTAGTTAGATCCTTTCCCTTTGCCCATTCAGTGGTGATGCCATACATTTGTAATGGAATTATTTTGCCACAGTGCACATTCTCACTTTGCGTATCCTTTGACTTTCCGGCTTAAGTTTTAAAAAAACGTATGCATTGCGTTTCACTCTGTGCTATAAAGTTTTATGCATTTGACAAATGCAGAGTGTCCTGCATCCACCACAATAGTACCATACTCTGTAGTCCCACCACCCTTACAAAACCGTCTCATCACAATCTTTGAGAATTCCCAAGGGATCCACTTCAGACTGATAGCTCTGCCTGATGTTTGGTTGAAAAATACCTGGGCTGTGAATTAGTTCATTTCAGGCAGTTTATTTTTAAATAGTTTTATTTTTAAAGTTTCTCAATCCTTTGCTGCACACTAGAAATCGTTTGTACCTGATAAATCGTTTGTACCTGATACTACCTCTGTATCCTGATGTAATTGTTTTAGGGTGTATGTCTGGGCACAAGGACTTTGAAAAACTTCCCTGAGGCTCATAGTGTAAGCCAAGGTTTAGAACCACTGATCTGAGGCTCTTCTGTCTTTGGGTCCAGATGCCTTTTGATAAAAACACAAATGATCAATTGCTGCAATACATCATCACTTTAAGAGACATTATAGATTATGGATTATGTAAATTTTTTGAGCAGGTAATATAACAAGATGGATTTCACACGTTATACAAGACATTTATATTTTACTCTGAGCTCAAAATGAGCCTCAATTTCTCCTGATGAGAAATTTAATTTTGACAAGTCAAAAAAAAGTTAGTTACATCTAACTTAAAATGCACTCCTTTAGAGATTGAATTCAGCTTTACCCTCTCTCCTATGTTCATGTTTTCCCTGTGACAATCTAGGTTTGGGTCCAGGTAATCTTGAATGGCACAGGCACGAGTGGAAGCAACTGAAAGAGACTTTTCTTTTCTCGTTTCCTATTTTCTCTGTTTGAGCAATCTGGAAAGTACCAGATGATTTTCTCTGAGGGCAACTGATCAAGTTCCAGGTTGGGTTGGCCATCATCTTTACACTTTTGGGTGCTGTGGATCTTCTCAGATTAATCTGCCTTCCCTATCCAGCCTATGGTTTATGTACCCTTCCCAAGAATCTGCTTATAGGATCTCCTAGCTATAGGCGTTGGTCATTCTTTCGTATGCTACTACTGTGCCCTTCTCCTGCAACCTTACAGAATTTCTCCATACCCCTTGGCGGCTGAGGTAGACTACAGCAGCCTCTCTTAGGTCTGTTCAACTCCTAGACCTGCTCTACTGCCATTTCTACTCTACTGTAACGGCCCCTTCTCAGAATTCTCAAAAAAGGCAGGACTACAAATCCTGTTTGGGAATCCCTAAGCCCTTCTGAGGTTTCCTTTATGTTACCCAGTACTTCAATCCCCAGGGTCTCTTGCTTATCTCCCAGTTCTTCCCCATAGTAGAAAGAAGACACAATAGGAAAACTGAGTCATAATGTTAGTGTTTCATCATGAATTCTATGCTTGCTATCATATAGCTTTGCTAATAATATGCAATGTCAAGATTTTACAATTTCAAAACCAAAAATACAACACTTTTCTCTCTCAAGAATCTGACTCTTTTTAAATAATGGACTTAGATTTTCAGTCTGTTGCTTCTGTATATTTCCTAAAAACCCATTCAAATTTTCAGTCTCTTTCTATATTCTGGGATGTTATCTGCCTTTTGCTCCACAACGGTGAAAGGCACTGACGAAAGTGGCAAAGGACTTGGCACAAGAAAAAATTCTATTGATGTCACAAATACCCCTTTATCATCATATGAAAGTGTGATATGGAAGTGATATTCCAAATAAATCTTAATTTGTAATAGGATGGATTTGGAAAGCAAATTGATTTCCATGCAAGTGTTAACAATAAAGCCAGTGAGATACATCTGTGTTTACAGAGTCCGGTCTTTCTTCATGTGTAGTAGAAAAAGATGAATATATACTGGATGCTTGGATAGAAACTTCAGATCACATGCAACCATGACCTTAGGAAGCAGAAACCCAATAACAAAATCTAGTTTGTATATATACTGTATATCCCAAGGAAATCTCATTGCCAAAATGACAGATGGGGATAACTGTCCAGAGGGACATTAGTCGATATCTTTTGTTTTTGTTTTGTTTTTTGGTACTGGGGATTGAACTCAGGACCTTGTGCTTTCAAGGCAGGCAGCAGAACCACTGAGCTGAGTCCCAGGCCCTCATTAGTCAATGTCTTAATGAGATTTAAAAAAAAAGAATCAAAGCAACTGAAGAACAAAAATCCACCACAAATCCACACTGTTAACTCTGTATTTAGATTCAAAAGATAAATAACCACACTTTGTTTTTTGTTTTGTACTCAGCTGGAAAGGCAACTAATCTTGCAGAATGAAATGAGAGAAAGACAAATGGCTATGCAGATTGCTTGGTCTCGAGAATTTCTCAAATATTTTGGAACATTTTTTGGCATTGCAACCATCTCTTTAACGGCTGGGTATGTCTGCTATTTCCTTTAAGATTTTCTTAAATAATTTACTTCTTTTTGTCTTTAATCATATTATTAAGTTGGGTAAGGGTTTGGTTCAAATGATGTATATGTAAACAAAGAAACATCTTGTAGGTTATTATTGGGATTTAGCTATGCAGAACCAGAATGGTAGTGGTAAATTTTGACTCTGTTTCTTAGGTTCCTTCTGTCCTTTTCTGTACTTTATAAATTAAAGAAGAGATTAACTGGATACCTAGATAGGACACGTCTATGGGTTAGCCCCACAGTCACCATAGCTAAGTGATAGCTTTCAATCCTTATCCATTTTAAAATGAGGAATCTGAGCCTCAAAGTCAAATAAAAATAAGCAAGTTATAGCCCTTCTCATGAGAACTGCAGAATGTAATGAGAGGTATTGGCTAAGGAAATCTTACCATGATAGGAAACTCAAAAGAAGTAACTTCTGAAATGGAGGACATTTTTCCAAAAATGAAATGTTTTTTCTGTTCAAGTGTAGATACATATATTTACAAGTTATTCCTTAATACAAGGTCTTCTTTATTCTTGAAACAGAGCAATAAAACAAAAGAAGCCAGTCTTCTTCATCCCTGTAGTTCCATTAAGCTTTATCTTCGCCTACCAGTACGATTTGGGCTATGGAACTCTTCTACAAAGAATGAAAGGTAAGTCTTTGATAAACCAGAGTTCCTATTTCCTGATTCATTTTCTGGTTCAAGAATCCCCTTTATAATCCCTGACTTATGCAGATTCCAACAAAATCCTTTCTCCAGTGTCCAATGTCCAACATTTCTGCTTTCTTTCACAATAGGATCTGCAGTCAGCTCACAAGAACTGATTGTTAAACTTTCAGGAAGTTTGTAAACAATGGGTGTTACACACAGTCCTTTAATTTATTAAAAATTAACATATAGATTTATAATTACTTAAATTATATTAATATTAAATATATTTAAAACAAGAAAACAAATACTCAGAATTCATTTGCTTCTGATTTTATCATAATACATCTCTTACTTACATCAATTGTATATGATAGGAATGCAGATACACTATACAGAAACAATAAAATACATCTACAACTTTGGATTCAGTGACATCCCATGACCATGGTGTACTACTAAACCATGGAATTCTACAAATGCCAAATCAAGGACTGATTTTTTTTTATTTTGTTAATTGTCTAGACCAGAGGTTGGCAAACTATAGCCTATGGGCTAGTTATTTTTGAAAATAATTATGTCCATGCCCAATTATTAGTCACTGAAACACAGATACAAGATACATACCATAAGCCTCAAATATTTACTTTCTTGCCCTTTAAGAATACTTGCTAACCCAAGTTTTAATTTAAGAGATTGATGCTAATAGTGAAGAGTAAGCTTAAAAGTATGCTGTATCTGTAGCTATTATGTTGTAAATACAATTTTGAGGAACTATTTTTCAAACACTTAAAACTATCATCTGATTTGGCTAACCAATTGTTCATATAATTTTTTTTTACTGAGTTTATTGGTACATTTAGGGATACAGTACAGTTACATTCATTGTTGGGATCATGTACCTTTACATGGCAAGTCTTGATTCTCATTTTTTTCCCCTTACCTCTGCCCTCCCTTCACCCCCTCCTCCCCTCCCCATCTACAAACACTTTATTTTCATCTTTTCATTCTCTCACATTTTTTTCTTTTCCCTTTTTGTTCTTCCCCTACGTATCACACCTTCCCTACACCTTTAGCTCCTTTCCTCCCATTTCTAAATGTCAGTAATCTTATTAGAATCTTATGCATTGTTGCAGAATATTCACACCAGGGAAACTATTTGGTATTTACACATGTGGGACTTATTTATTTCACTTAGGAGTATATCTTCAATATGTATCCATTTTCCTATGAATGAATCTATTCTCTCGCTCTTTATGGCTGAGTAATATTCCATTTTATAGAAAAACCACAACTTCTTTATCCAGTTTCCAACGGATGGGCAAATAGGTTGTTTCCAAGATTTAGCTATTACAAACTGTGCCGCTATAAACATGGGTGCACATACTTCTCTGTGATATGATTCTTTTAGTTCTCTTGGAAAGATACCCAACAGAGGGATGGCTGGGTCAAATGGAACCTCCAGTCCAAGCTCTTTGAGGTATCTCCATATTGATTTCCATAGTGGTTGCACTAGTCTGCACTCCCACCAACAATGGAGGAGGGTTCCTTTCTCCCCACAACCCCGCCAACATTTGTTATTTGTTCATATAATTTTTAAATGAATAAAGTTCAAACAAGTGCCATCACTGATTCACTTTTTCCTTATTTCTTAATGTAGTGAAGACACTAATCATCATTCATTTTGGAACAATATTCTCTCACTAACTGCACTCAATGAGTGCTCAGCTAAAATCTCTGAAAGAATTCAGTAAGAAATAAATTGTTACATGGAATTTATGATTGAATAGTGCATGTTTTATTATGTGCTATATCTTTTACATAAGTATAATTTATAATAAATTTACATGCACTTATTTTTCTGGTGAGCTATTTGTTAATTATTCGCTAGAATACCATTGCTCTCACAGGATACTGGCTCTTATGGCCCTGGAAGATAGTGCTGCTGTTACAAAAGCCATTCCAGGACCAGGGAGACGGGGTGGCTAATTAGTCTAGGATATCCATATCTTCCAAATTCCCACCATTTTTCTGAGAGCTCAACTCTCAAAAAAATCTTGATGTCCCTTCTTCTTAAGCCTTTAACCCAGAGTGCTTTGAAAATTGTGGTTTACCAAGTTAAATCTTTACAATCTTGACCTTTCCTGAAACATGAGTGTACCATTTATTCCACTGTAGTGGCTTGGTATGGAAAAGGAAGAGTTGCAGACTGCTCTTCAAGTACTAGCCTTAAGGAGAAAAACATTTCATTCATGGGCCTAAGGAGATGGAAAATTTACATGGTCTTGAAAATTCCCATTTGAAGGCCGGGCATGGTGTAATCCCAGCACTTGGGAGGCTGAGGGAGGAGGATCGCTGTGAGTCCAAGACCAGCCTGGACTACATAGTGAGTTCCAGGTCAGTCTCAACTACATGGTGAGACCCTGTCTTTAAAAAACAAAACAAAACAAAAACAAAAAAACTCCCATCTGAAAACGGAAATGCATTTTCCCCATAGAAACTATAGAAAAATGTCCATTTAGAGTCAGATATTATTGGTACGGTTTGGCTTATATTATGGGCTAAAATTTTTGCTGATAGACTAGAAATTGATTTATAGCATTCCTTCTATGGAAAAATATATTCTGAAACTCCAAAACATGGATCTGTATATTAATCTTTGGAATACAAACCCATTTTAAGCTATAAACTAAATGTATAGAACTAATTGATTAATGTTAGATACTGTTTCATGTCCTTCTCAGTTTCATGTCATTCATCTGCTCAAGAACTCATTAGAACGGGCCAGGGATTTAGCTCAGTGGTGCTGCCTCCTGCCCTGCAAGCACAAGGTCCTGAGTTTGATCCCCGGTACAAAAAAAAAAAAAAAAAAAAAAAATTCATTAGTACAAGCTCATGCCTTGTGTTTACATAGAGATTAGCATTCCTAATGCCTCATAAAAAAGTGGTATGTATAATTAAGAGATGTGAACTATTATCCAGCCTTCACTTTACCATATTACTAAAGGAAAGCAAGTTTGTTTTTTGGTTTTTTTGTTTTTTTGGTTTTTTTTTGCAAGTTTGTTTTATAGTAAGTTGTATACTGGGCAATTTTATTACAGTTCCATTGGTCTAAAAGTTTTAAATTTCAAGATATATTATATGAATTTCCTGTTGTTTTTTTTTTTTTTTGAAGTACCTGTTTAGAATCCATCAGGAAACTCATCACTTTAAGAAGTTTAGGTTATATTTTTTTCCCTGTAATTAGTGATTCAAAATGTATAATCCCTGTTTGGTTGTATCTCACATGGAAAACATTTAGTCTTTCATCAATCATCTACCTTATTACATAGAATTTTATAATTATTCTTACCTACTATTTAGACTGAAATAAAAAAGATGTTTGCAGATGGTGACAATGCTCTTACTGTATCTGTATGAAAACTGTAACCTACTCTATTGTTTTAGAGAAAAATTAAGAAATAATAAACGTGTGAAGCTATGAGTATGTATAAAGAAACGAAGGAGTAAAAAAGGAGCACTGATAGCAAGCATTTGCCTTCGTTACCAAGTCTGGTTTATAGGATGTCATCAACGTGTATGATACAATTCTTACAAATTTGTGGGGAGAAAAGAGCCCTTCTCCATTGTTGGTGGGACTGCAGACTGAGGTAACCACTGTGGAAATCAATATGGAGATACCTTAAACAACTAGGATTAGATGTCCCATTTGACCCAGCTATTCCCCTGCTGGGTACCTTCCCAAAAGAATTAAAAGAATCATACCACAGTGATATATGCACACCCATGTTTATAGTGGCACAGTTTATAATTGCTAAAACTTGGAAGCAGCCCACGTGCCCATCAGTTGGAGACTGGGTAAAGAAGATGTGTTTTTTTTATATAAGATGGAGTACTACTCAGCCATAAAGAATGAGAAACTAGAGACATTTATAACTAAATGGATGCACATCGAGGCCAGACTCTTAAGTGAAATAAATAGGACACACGTGTAAATCCTGAACAGTTTCTCTGTTGTGATACACTAAAAGTGTAAATAAAATCAAAATGTATAATTGATATTGTTTAATAGGGGAAATGTCTAAAGATGTAGGGGAAGCAAGAGGGATAGAGGAAAACTAAGAAGGGAAAAGAAAAAATAAGAGAAAAGAAAAAAATGGAAATAAAGTCTCTGTAAATAGGGAGGGGTGGAGGGGGTGAAGGGAGGGCAGGGGAATGGGGGAAAAAATAAGAACCAAGATACATCATGTAAAGGTACAAGATCCCAATGATGAATGTAATTGTATTATATACCTAAAATGTACCAAAAAAGAAAAAAGAGGAAAAAATTTTTGTTCATTTGTTTTCAACAATAAAAATTGGCAAATGTCACTGGGCCCAAGAAATTACTGCCTTTCCTACTGGTAGTTTTTTGGAAGAGAAATTGTTTATGAAAATGTATATGTATGTGTGTAATATGTATACAAAGAATGAATATTTAATATTATTTGGCATATTTTTAAGTGGTTTCAGGTGAAAGAGTAACTTTCCTGAAAAATTAGACTTTTTAGTAGTCTTTATTTTCTCTCCTATCTCTTAGTTATGTTAAGGGGCGATACGGAAGAATGTGTGTAGTATCTCCATCCCAAGCTTTGTCAAATATAATTAATACTCATTATCCTGACTTTGGTTCAAGGGGAAAAATTACTTAACTCGGAGTTCTTTCTTGTGAACAATTTAAAATGCTGTCTTCTGTCAAAAATAAATCTCTGGCACCTCATTTGTCTATGAAATTTCAAAATTCATCATTTTGTTTCCTCTGGGAGGAACATTACTTCTGAGGAAGATGGGTGAAATGTTTAACTGAGATTTGAGGATATGGCCCCATATGATATTATTACAGACTGTAAATGGAACATGGCAATCAGGCCTCTCACAAAACCCCTTTGTCATCTAATGTATTTCTATTTTTTTTATTTTAAGGTGAAGCTGAAGACATACTGGAAACAGAAAAGAGCAAGTTGCAGCTGCCAAAAGGAGTCATCACTTTTGAAAACCTTGAAAAAGCTAGAAGGGAACAGAATAAATTCGTCATAGACAAATGAAGCTGTGTTTACTCACCATCTCAAAGCACAAAGTTACTGGCTTGAATCATGATTTTTACAACTTTTTAAATGCTCAATATTTTGATATCATGGCTTTTATTTTAAAATATTAAAATGCCAGGTGAGATTTACTGAACTATTTTAAAATTAAATTTATAACATTCAACACAAAATCATGGAAGTACTCCAAAGAACTTTCAGATTTGCTGTATGTGTGGCACAAATTTCTAAATGTAAAATTAATAAATTACTTTGTTTTGAATTTCTGGAAGCAACACTCCTGCTGCTTGCTGTTCTGTCACACAAACTTTCTCCATCACATTCAATTCTTACAGGTTCTCCAATTGTTTGGATTTGACAATTGTGTCCTAGCCGCCACACCATAGAAAACAACCAATATTAAAGATGAACATATACACTGAATTTACTATGTAGACACTGCTCTGAGCATTGTGTACATGTTCTTATGATCAACCCACAAGTTCATAAGGGAGGCATCATTTTATGGATATGGAACCTGAGACACAGAGAGACTGAATTACTTGCCCAAGGTCATACATGAGCTTGAATTAGGCAGAGTTTGGATTTAAACTTAGATATCTGAAAAGTTAGACCTTAACTTTTAATTAACATGTAAGAATAGTTATGAAATTCTCGCAAGCACAAGTACCCAAGTTCGATCCCCGAGGCCAAAAAAAAAAGAACATAAAAACAATTTATATAAAAAAGAATGGTTTTGAAAAATAATAAAAAGCAACATTCAAATAATGATTCAGACATAGTTGTGAGAAAGGTTGGAAGGAGGGGAGATTGATTAAGATGTGTAGGTTTTAAAATTCAGACTCATGGGAAGTTCATAGAGTACTACTATTTATACCATTCCTCCAGGTACAACCTCTTTATAGAATACAATCATTCCAAAAATTGCTGATGCCTAGTATGTGCTAGGCACTGTTTTAGTCTCTAGAAATACATCAGTGAATGAGGAGGAAAGCACCCTACATTTTAGTCAGAGAAATATGTTCTAGTGAGAAGTGGGAGAACGGGACAGCAACAGAAAGACATGCTTCAGAAGAAATGAAAAAGGATGAAGAGAAAATGATCAGGACAATGGGGTGGGGGAACTTTATTTGTAAGATTGAAGAGACCGCCCCTCTGCATTTGAGCTGAGACGTGAATGTTGAATAAGTCAGGTCATTTTATGAAAAGCAGTACAGAAGAGCAGCGAAGGGATCTCTAGGAAAAAGAAGCCAAAAGACAGGCTGGAGACTTGGTATGATTCAAGAATAAAGAGAATCACAGGCTATGAAATATAAAAGTGGAACAAGCATGTAAGTGATGTCCCCATAGATTCAAGAAGCTAACAATATGCGGCTTTAATAAAATTAGAATTGTAGAGAACTATGGGCCAAATACTAAAAGATGCCTAAAGGTTCTTCATACAAACAAACAGACGAAGAGTAAGGGTACCCTGGGCAGAACAAACAGCTTGAACACAGGCAGGACCATGCATGTCAAGTCCAAGGAGTTGCTCCCAGTCATTTAGATTGGCTGGGGCAGGGGATTCTTTACCTGGGGGACATTTAAAGAAAAGAGCCTAGTAGCACCATTTACATTCTGAAGAGCCTTGATTGTAACCCTGAAGAATTCGGACACTTTCTTGAAGGTAATACAAGTGAAAATATTTAAACTGAGATTTTAAATATTTTAAATTGAGATTAATAGGTTAGAGAGGAATGACTCCAGAACCCAAGTCTTAAGGAAATGCAATTGTCCTCCTGAGCAATGATCAGGGCCTGAATTAAGGGTATAGCCCTGAAGTTGGAATCAGGAATGTAAAAAGAAAGATTAGCAGGACCAGGAAACTGGCTTGATATCACAGATAGAGGAGAAGGTGATTTGCCATCATTTAATACGCAGTGATTATCTGTGGCCCCTAGAGAACACAGGAATGAAGAAGGGATTGGGAGGCAAACTGGTGAGCTGACGGGTGCCTATGTTGCTTTGCAGATCATGTCAGGATCTGGAATTATAGACTTTTCGCCTTATATTCAATCGTGCTACCCAAACTTTTCCGACATAACCTAGTTAGAGCTAAGCAAATATAGGTTAGACGCTGACTTGGCTGAAGACCTTATATGGGATTTGTGACCCTCCTTGGACCAGGCTGTTTATTGGTATTGGCTTCTTGGCATTGGCACTGAGCAAGTACATGAACAGTTCTATCTCAGAAGAGCCTCTGCTGATCACACACACACACACACACACACACTTTTATTTGCTTATAACTCTATAGTGAGGAGAAACCAAAGCACAGCTATTAAATAATGGCTTTATTTTGTGCCATATTAAACAGCCCAATTGTCCTTGGTATTGTTGACTATCCAAAACTTTTTCTCTCATATTAGTGTGTAATCTTTTTATTGAAAGGACAAATATTTCAGCCATTATAGACAAGCTATTTTTTAGGTATCTATGTTAAATACTTCTATACATTTATTGTTATCATTACTATTATTAAACCCTAATTACCTACTAGACATCTGACACTCACAAATACTGACACTTGTTTGGTCTTTGTTCAGCTAGTTTATAATCAACACAATTTGATATAAGAATGAAAAAATGGGGCCGGGGATTTAACTCAGCAGCACCATGCCTGCCTTGCAAGCACAAAGTTCAGGGCCCTGAACTCAATCCCCCATACTAAAAACAAAACAAAACAAAACAAAACAAAACCTTCTAAGAATGAAGAAATAAACATGAGCAAGTATATTAGGAGAAACGTAACAAGCTAAGGTCTCATTATGAATACATATTTAGACATTAAGATAATAGTTACATCACCCAATGTCTGTCAGTGACCACCGCAAAGTTTTTTGGGGGCACTCTTATCTTCACTCCCCTTCCCATGATACTGTTGGCCCAGCAAAACAATGCAGAGATTCCCTACCTGTATGAGTTTTCATTCATGATTAAAGGACGAAAACACTGGTCTAGGAATTTTTTTTTTTTGCTTAGTATCATTTTAATTTTTAATTTTAGTTTTTATTAGTACATGTCTGCAGTACACATGATTTCATTTATTTGGAGGGAGTTGGTACATTATATAATACCTCTTAATTCTGTGTTATGGCTTATGTTTAGATGGCCCCCAAAGCCTCATATGGTCATAGGTGGGGCTTCTGCAGAGGGTGGCTGGATCTAGAGTGTATGATGCTGGGATTAAGGGTGTGTGATTACTAAATTAGTCCACTTATTGGTTTGGGATAGTTTTATTTAGGGATTCAGGGTGCCCTACTCTGAGTGTGAGTGTTACCCGCTAAGGGTGGGTAGCCTGGATAAAAATATAAGGGACAGAGAGAGGGCTAGTGTTGCTAGTCGCTTGTTGCTTGTTGTCTGTTACTTGCTTGCTGCTTGCTGCCTTCTGCTTGCCTGATTTATGATGCCCCTCTACCATGCCACCCTGCCTTGGAGCCAGCCAACTATAAACCGAACCCTCTACAAACTGTGAGCTACAGTAAATTTTCCTCCTTTAACTTTGGATGTCGGGCATTTTATCTCAGCAACAAGAAAATGAAGACATTCTTTTTTACACATATATAATCCCTAACTTCTCCTTCCCTCCCTGATATATTACTTGGTCCCCTTCTCATTTGCAAAAGTTCTATCTCCATTTTTTTTCAAGTTCTTTTCTTTCATCCTCTCTCAGTTTCCCTTCTTTCTCATCTCTTGGTCCCCTTCCAATACGCAAAACATCTATCTTGCTATTTCCTACTATCTTTTATTTTGCTTTATTTATGTTTTGGGTTTCTCTTAAAAGTCAAACTATGCAATATGTAAGCTTGGCTGTCTGATTTATTTCACTTACTATTATGGTCTCAGGGTGCATCCATTTACCTATGAACGACCCACGTTTATACTTCATTATGGCATGGTAGTACTCTGTTGTACATAAATATGATATGTCTTTATCCATTCATCTATCGATGGCGTAAGGGCCATTCCTAAGTACTGGCTATTATACATTGTGCTGCTGTAAACATGTATGCTGAAAGCACATATTACTGTAATATGATGTCCTTACATCTTTGGAGAAGATGCCTAGAAGGGAATAGCTGGGTCAAAGGTAATTTCTATCCTTAGTGTATTTGGGGAATCTCCATACCAATTTCCATGGTGCTTTTACTAGTTCACATTCTCATCAACACTGTACCAGGGTTCCTTTTCCCCTGCAGCATTTCCAGCATTTGTTATTATTTAATATCTTGATGATAGTCATTCTTTCTGGAGTAATAGGGAACCTCAGTGTTGCTTGATTTGTGTTTATATAATGGCCATTGATGTTGTTTTTTTTCATGTATTTATCAGCTATTTGCACTTCTGAGAAGTGTCAACATTGAGAGATATTTCTGGGATGTGTTGTTTATTTACTATCATTGCCTTCTTTATCTGTTCGTGAATCTTTGGTTTTCCTTTTAATGATGATCTTTGCTACTGTTTATCCAGTGACCTAATTTCTTCTGTAATTTTAGCTGTTTCTGTTTCATGATTTCTTTTGCAAATATTCTTAAGTATTTTCTTAAGAGCTGATTTAATATTCATTTATCTTCTGAGCTGGTGTTTTTCATGGAAATATCTTATTTCATTGTCCATTTTTGGAGATAGCTTTGCTGGGTAAGTTAATCTGTGTTGGAAGTTATTTGCTCTTAGAGCCTAAAATAATTCACTCCACACTCTTCTAGACTTCAGAGTTTGTGCTAAGTCTGCTGCCACTCCGACTGGTTTACCATTAAATGTAATTTTTTGTTTTTCTCTGGATGCTTTTCAAATTCTGGATTTTTGCTGAATATCTGGGAATTTAATAAGGATATGCCTTGGTGAGCTTTTCCTTTCATCATCACTGTTTGGTGTTCTACAAGCATTGCTCACTTATATTTTAAACTTTTTTCTTGTATTTGGGAAATTTTCTTTCATAATTTCTATAAGCATGTTAGTGAATCCATCTGTTCTTTTAGCTTTTCTCTAGCTCTAGTTAGCCTTAGATTGGTCTTGTTGCCATCTAGTTGCTGCTGAACAGTCCTCTCTTGTTCTTTTTTGGGGGGCGGAGGTGTCCTTTGAGCTCTTTATCATAATTCACTATTTTATCCTCACTCTGTCTTCACATTCAATTCTGAAATGTATGAATTCTATTGATTTTTTTTTTTTTTTTGGT